TTATTACGCCAAAGCTCCCATTCTAGATGGTGTGACCGAGATTACAGATTTCTAGATCCTACCGATTATCAAATAGCCGTTAACCATATTACAGGGACATTTTTCGAAAATGTCGTTCGTGGGATTCGAACTCTAGACCTGCCATTTGGGGGTGCGACAACTCCACCACTTCACCAAGTCGCCACACCCTTCCTTAGCCATTTTATATATGATGTCATAATGTATTTCTATTATATTTTTTGTTAGAGCAAGTAAAGATGTAGTAAAACCAATGGCTATTACATATTTTGTTTCAAGTTGAAAAAACAAGTCGCATCTACTTTTCTGTTGCCATTCAAAAAATGCATATGTGGAAACAACATAGTCCTCATCATATTTATAGAATTGCTTAGTGTAATATAACCACCAGTAATATATTTGTTTTAAGATAATGTATGATAGATTAAATTTTTTGCAAAGATATGATCGTAAATATGTTGAAGTTATCTTTAATTTTTTTTTTATTTCTTGCTTAACCTCTGATAGTACCGCAATGTCAATAGGTTTATTATGCATAAGATTGTGTTGTAATATTACTTTTGCTTCTGCAGCTAATAAGTCTACTTTTATAGTTAACTTGCCTTTGCAATCAAACCAATTAATTCTTTTATGATTTGAATCCACATATTCACATTTAATCTCATTACTTTGTGAACATACGAAGTAAGCATTGCCAACGCCTTGATAACAAACTGAAAGATTTGGAGCAGTTGTAGCACTACAATTGAATACATTAAGTATAAATTTTATTTATTCATTTATTATTACTTAACAAGTTATACTTATATCCAGTTATAGCCATCTCTTTCTTCGATTTTGTCAACAATTAATTTGGCCATTAGTTTAATATTTATATCAGCAATACTAAGTGTATTTTCATCAAGTATAATGAAAAATTAATAGGGTTTTTATTTTGCTTTATGCTATCAGTTATATAATTACTAATTTCTTTAAAAGAAATTTTTTTCATAGGAATATCTTCAACATTAGCATTTTTAGCTTTCTTTTCGGCTCTCTTTTCTGCTTTAGTAATCAAACATTTAGCACATATTTTGTTGCTTTTACTATCAAGCACAAAGGCATTAGAGGATAGTGTACGTGAACAAGAGGTGCAAAACATTGTATTTATTAGGTATCAGTATAGTTTTTACTAGTGTTATAGTGTTATTAAATAATTTTATTAAGTGATAGGAAACTTTACTATTATAAAGATGAAAATGTTTGAGAGTAAGTATTTGATTTTTTTATGTATTGAATTTGTTAAAGCACTTATTTATTTATTTTCTTTTTGTGTTAATTAAACTTTTAATTAATTATGACATTTATTATGCTTACGGATACTATATTTTACTTTACTATTTTGTACGTCACTAAGTCTGTCATTACAATTAGATCATAGAAAAATCTAATTAGTTGGTGCAGCTCAATTCAAAGGGCCATTCTTTATACAAATCAGAATTTTTTATTATTTTGTATACAGCTAATATAAAATTTGGTATTCATTTAATATGTAATATCTTATTTTTCAGAGAAACGAAGTGATTATTTGAATTAATTAGCCAATTATAAGGTATGGTCCACTAGTTTTGATATTTTGAAATTTAATTTTTACTCAAATCACTTATACTTTAATTATTAAGGATCACTATCAAAATAAGCAAATATGAATAATTTAAATAGGCTATTTACTGCTACATTTATGATTTTCGATAAAAAGGATAAAAATAAGGGATTCAAAAATCTGCTGATATGATAAAGTGTATTACTGGCTGTCAGCAAAGGCAAGTAATTTTAATGAAATTTAGAAATGCTATTTGTTATGTATACGGGATTGGTGAATTGATAATTTGCTTCAAAAGTAAGCTATATACTAATTTTTTTTTATAATTTGAAAATTTTTATTTTAAATAATATTCTTTTCAATTTGTTCAATATTTTGGGAGTATAATTATCAATTATTAATCTATTTAAAGTTGATTCATAAAGATTTTCTATATAATTTATTTAAAAAAAATACTTTCACTCTTATGTAAATTGATTGGTTTAAAAATAAAATAATAATAATCATACTAGTAATTGTTATAATATCTTATGAGTCTTCAAAATCTGAAATTAGTAACTGTTTAATAAGTGTAAAATTAGATATCTTTATTGTATTGTAGCTTATTTATTTGTCATAACGATAATGGAATTTTTATTAAGGATCGAAATGCATGCACAATGTAGATCATAGATTAGAAGTCATGTGAACAAAAAATTGATCCTAAGCCTGGCATTGTCAATTAAATATAGTAATAAAAGTTATATGTAAAATAAATTGGGTCAATTTGAATTGTTTTACCTTGACTAAATTTGTTTTAAAAAAATTCAGGTGTTATTAAATTTATTTAATGTATTTAAAAGACTATTATATTGAAATAAATTAAATGTATTTAATATACTAATTTTATATAATTAAATAAATGTAAATATATAATGATTTATTACAGTATAATAAAGTAAAAATCAATTACTTTAGAAAGTTCGAATAGATTTAAATTTTATTAAAAAAATTTAAATAAATCTAAATAGATGTGGATTAATTTGATTATATTAGAATTAATTTGAAAAACTTTAAATACAGTTTCTTTAGCTCTTCTTCCCTTCGTAATATTTTATTTCAAATCATCTTTCAATTCTAACTTGTTTGTTATATAAATTCATTTTCCTTTTACTATATTTTTGTTTTGATTCATTTAAGCTATTTTAATATAATTTGCACCAATTTAATCCTTCTTATTTTTTTATATTTTATTTTTTTCATACCTTCTTATTTTTTTATATTTTATTTTTATATTTTTTCTTTTATTTATTATTTGCTTATTTCGATTTATCTTATTTTTTTTTTTCTTTTTATATATTTTTGTTTTTTTTTTGTTTTTTTTACCGATATTTCTCATTTTGATCAGTTTAACTTATTTTAATCTAATTCGCATCTATTTGCACCTTCTTAATTTGTTTTATTTTCTTTTTCATTTTTTTTTCATTAATTATTCACTTATTTCAAATTTTTTTTTTTATTTTTATTTTTTTTTATTTTTTCTTTTACTTTTATTATTTTATTATTATTTTATTTTATCTTTTCTTTATATTC